ATCCTAGATTATTGTTTTCTTTTAATTGGGACAATTACTGTGTTATATGACAGCAAAAGATTTACTGATTTTAACCGATTTTTGCCTTTGAGAAATAAGCCTTATTGAATAAAGGACAAAGATTCTTTGAATATTATTTGAATTTGGTTTGGAAGCGTTCATTTGGAATTGTACTTCTATGGCTATATGTGAGATTTAGTCAGCAGCTTTGTACGCTGAAGTTTGTACTAAACTGTATCAGTTTGAATTTCTGACATTTTATCTCACTACCACCAATTGTGGATTTCTAAGTCTTTCATTGATTTTTGGGTTTCTTTCATAATTTCTTATAAAATCCCTCTGTACCCACCACCACCTCTTAGCCTGTTCTCTTTCCATGGCTTTCTGTTCTTGTTCTCATAGAGGCTGTGACTTTCTAAATCCTTGTGAGGCAAACACCATTGACTTGTGCTTATTTTCTTCCTATCTTTGTATTAAGTTGTGTATTCTTCTAAACTGTCAAGTTGTTTTTGCAGTTCTTGGGTTTACAGAGTATTCTGATGGGCCTGCTCTTGGCTTTGGTTAATTTTTCCTCCTGGGATGAGGTTCTATCTATCTTGCCCTGCACTATCTGATGGAACCCCTCTATCCAGCAGAGCCCCTCTATCTGGCTTCTTTGAAAAGCTTCTGCCAAATAAAATAAAGATAGAATGTAAGCTAGAGATAAATACAAGAATTCACTATGAAAAATAGAACGAAATCCTAGAAAGCATTTGTTCCATTCCTTAAGTAAATAAAATAGTGAAATGAGGATGAGACATGAGGGGATAAACAACAGATCAACATAAGAGCAAACCTGGCTGAGAAGCTGAGAGGAATAAAGAGAGAATGTGCAAGATAAAGAAATATTGTCACAAGAAAAATAAAAATGCAATGCCAGGATTAATTCTTAATTAGAAGTGCAAAGGAAGAGACTCAAGAGTGCATAAAGCATAAACAGGGGTAGGGAAGAAAAGCTTCAGACATTTCCCACCAAACTCAGAAGGAAGATGAGATAAACAGGAAAAAAAGGATGGAATATTTGAAGTCCAAAAAATGATGAACCAACAGACAAAGAACTTCTTTCCCCAGAAAGTACAGAACCGTAAACATTGCTTCAATGAAGAATACTTGAGTATTCAAATTGAAAATATTAACTAAATAACAGATGCAGCTTGGTGAAATCTTAGAATATGAAGGATGAGGGAAGTGCTCTAAGTAGCTTATGGTGTCTTGTTTGTACTTAACGTTTCCTAACAGGGAAAAAAATACATGTGGACAACAAGTTGAAACACTGGCAATATTGACTAATTTCCGGCCCCCTGGAGGAGAGGGGCTCTGATAATAGTCACAATAGGTATCAACTTAAACAAACAACTTTCAAAGATGACTTAGGAACTTCTCTAGTTAGCATCCTCAGGCATGTGGCGCCACAGTGGATAACCACGGGTTGTGCTGTAGTTGGTATTTTAGCTACATGTATTTTAATTAATGGAGCCCCAGGGCAAATATGGTCCCCACGTTAGATTTGTTGTGACTTCTCTTCTTCTTTCAAGACCATTTTTCAAAACAGTTCCCTTGTGGCCTGACTTGGGGGGCTGGGGTGGGGTTGCAGTCTTGTGTAATGGTGATGGATCTCGGGTGTTAGAACAATGTTACACAACCCTGCATTTTTATCATTCTAATGACTTTTGCTGGACAAGGGGAGCTTACTTCCCTGCCAGATATTTATACAAGCTAATCAGAGGCTTGATACAATACAGATGGTGATAACCTTTTGCCGTACGATGTCCATGTTGTGTTTTTCTTAGGCAGCAGAGGGTTTGCCTCATTCAATATTCTGGACCAGAAAAGTCTATTTCTTCAATGCCTTACAAAGGATAGGAGATGATGTAAACTATTTCAGGAACCCTAAAAGGAGAGTCAAGTGCCAGGCCTCTACCACATTCCACAAACATTACCACAGATCTATTTACTTCTTAGATCTGTGGGACGAGAATGTTTTTATTGATTTATGTTTTTATTCAAGTATGATGGAGCATGAAGATTGGGGGAAGGGGGCAAAATATTTTCAGTAAATCATCCACTCCTCCTCTGCATTTAAAGTGCATTCCAAACCCAAATCTTGTGTAATTCTTTGCTTGGACTAGTAGTTCTGCTATTCTTCTGACTATTTTAAGCTTAATATATTGTCTTGCCAACAGATATAATGGTTCCTGTAAACACTTACCAGTTCCCTGCAAGAAGAGAAGAAAAATAGAATCATAGCTTAATATGCTTTGCATGGAATGAGTAGTACGGCAAGAAACCTCCGCAAAATCCCTAAATCCTAACCTGAATGTTAAGAAATATCACTGACGTGAGCTAAAATTAATATTTTAAAATAGTATTTGTGCAGAAGGACAGTAAAAGCACAAGAAGAAAACCTCATCTTTTTTGTACCAAACTATACAAAATAAAGTATGTGTGCGCACACAAATATTCTGTACATTCCTATGGCTCCCTCAAGACCAACTCACTCAACTAACTGTCTTCAGAGTATCCCTAGAGTTTATCCACTCACTCCCTCATTAATTCATTCATTGAATAGATATTTACGAATGCATGCTCTGTGCCAGACAATGTCCAGAATACCACGCCAAAAAAGACCATTTGCTTTTTTTCTCTCTTCTACTTCTATCCAAATTCTCACTTTCTTAGTGTCTTGCTTACAGTTTGCTTCCACGGTCTTGTAGAAGAGAGAGTAATCAAAATGAGCAAAAGCTTAGGGGAGTGTCTGTGGAGGTTAGGTTATGATTTCAGAGTGGAACAACCCAAAAGGAGAGAGTTTATCACGTGTTAATGAGCAAGGCCAGTGTAAACAGAAGTTGCCACATCTTGGAGTACTAGAACTAGGAGTTACCCTTCAGAGCCTGATGTATAACTTTAAAGACAAATAAAATAATATCTCACTTCATGCCTCCCATCACAGGTCATTGGATTCCCCCCCACAGAGGTGGTCCTGAATGAAAAAAAGTGTGTGTGTGTGTATGTGTGTGTATCTCAGTCCATTCTAATTATTGTTTATATTGATGGGGCTTTTCACGTGGGGTGTGTACTAACTGAAAATATAAATGTTTACACACATTTAAATGTAAATGTATATGATAAAATGTAAATATGTATGATGCATTATAACATAATAACAATTATTATTGTTATTGATACTCCGAATGATCTTTATTGGCCAGAAGGCACTCCTTAAGGCTAGTTTCTGATTCTCTTTAGCCCTTAGCAGTAGTAGGTTTTTTTTTTCTTTTTCTATTTTTTTAATTATGTTATATTAATCACCATACCTTACATCATTAGTTTTTGATGTAGTGTTCCATGATTCATTGTTTGCGTATAACACCCAGTGCTCCATGCAGAACGTGCCCTCTTTAATACCCATCACCAGGCTAACCCATCCTCCCCCCGCCCCCTCTAGAACCCTCAGTTTGTTTCTCAGAGTCCATAGTTGCTCATGGTTCGTCTCCCCCTCCGATATCCCCCCCTTCATTCTTCCCCTCCTGCTATCTTCTTCTTCTTCTTCTTTTTAACATATAATGTATTATTTGTTTCAGAGGTACAGGTCTGTGATTCAACAGTCTTGCACACTTCACAGCGCTCACCATAGCACATACTCTCCCCAATGTCAGCAGTAGTAGGTTTTTGAGAGAGGGAAGTAAAGTGTTTGAAGACCACTTCTCAAATTGATGGCTTTCCAGGTATCTTCCAAAGTCATTTTTAGTTTCCTTTAACTGTCTTTAAATTCAGGTTCAGTGGCTTTATCTTTAGCTCACAAACAGTAATAAAGTTTGGTAAGAGTTATTAAATTAGAATCAGTAGCTATGAATTCTATGCTAATGAAGACATGGATCGTATAATCTGAGAGAATCTGGAGTTAATAGCTGAGTCTGCCCCTTAAATGCATTGAGGCAGTTATCTTTTTTAAAATCAAATCATCTTTTAATTTTAACAAAACATAGGATATGCTTGTCGCTCTTCCTAACTACCTTCTGAATGTACTTGAATTACTGCCAATAGACATTGAATTCTTTCTAAGAACTTGCCAGAAAATATACCCTGGCACTTTACCTTTCCTACCCATTTCTGAGGAAAAGCAATAACATCAAATTCAATTACAATACCAGATTCACCACTGGACTCCTTGTGCTTTTGCAGGTTGATGTTATAAAGCGTCAGTGGCAATAAGTCGATGCCTTTAATAAAAAGGTTTCATTTTTTCCCTTCTATCTATAGAGGAGGGAGAGCATATAACATTATAAAGTACAACTCACTTGTCCTAAAATAATAAAGCCCGAGTGTCAGATTGAATAAATCAGTATTTTCTCATAAAGATAGGACCTTGTGCTAATGCCGGGTGGTCCAGAAAAGATGAAGGATCGAATGAATTCTACACTTTTGGAGGAGCAGTGGAAAAACAAACATGGGAAGTAGGTTGGCCACTGGTAACTCTGAAAAATACATTTTCTGTTAAATTTTCTTTGGATTAGACTTTTGATCTATGATCATGAGGTGGTTCAGCTAAGTAGGTACATGGGCAGCTAGCTGGATATACTTGGAAATAGATACGTAGGACTCACATTTGGCTCATTTGTCAAGAGCCTGAAAATTCATAAAAATAACTTAAATAAGTGATAATATGAATAAAAATTCATTCCATAAACATTTGCTGCTCTTCATTAACAAGGTACACGAAGGCGATGAGGATGCTGACACTGATGATAACGATAAATTTTAAGTGCTTTTTGTGGGTCTGTGAGAAGACCCTTGTAGGCACTAGTCTATGCTTGTTTCTGTTTTACTCTCATTGATCAGTGTTTGTTCTCACTCTCGTGACATGCTAATGATCTTCACAAATGCTGTTTTATATAAGAGGGGAAGCACATAGTAGGCCAACACAATACAAACCCATACTAATTTCCTTTATTGCATTACAGCAAATTCTTCATCACTCTAGAGAAAACTCAACAAAAGTTATATTCCTCATTACTGACGGATATTCCAATGGGGGAGATCCCAGGCCAGTTGCAGCATCTCTGCGAGATTTTGGAGTGGAGATCTTCACGTTTGGCATATGGCAAGGGAACATTCGAGAACTGAATGACATGGCTTCCACCCCAAAGGAGGAGCACTGCTACCTGCTCCACAGTTTTGAAGAATTCGAGGCTTTAGCTCGCCGGGCATTGCATGAAGGTAAGGGAAACCCAGTGGCATGACATGATGCATTTAAATGGGGGTTCCTGCTCTCCTATTGCTTGAAACTTATTGGAGGGTAACATCAAACCCTGTGAAATCTTCGCTGAGCATGATGCCCATGTGTTCTTGGTGTATTAGGAGATGCGTTGAACTTCATAAATAGAGGTGACAGTCTGACTTGCAACAAGAGTATTTGTTTTGCTTTATTTGTTTTTTAACAGCTGCTATGGATTTTCACTAGATTATCCATATGCTCCCACCTGGAACCGTTAGAATCAATGGAATGAATTTAGGTGTGTTTTAAGACCACACACAGAGCAGGAAGCCTTGACTTAGATCTATTTATAGTTATCTGGAAGAATGAAGTAAACATGCAGAGACATGCATAGTGAATCTCACCAGAATGTTTCCAGAAATACACATGAAGATATAGGAACAATAAATACTTAATGCATACTTCTTGACCTGACAGTCTGAAGACACGTGTGCTTACACATAAGTTGAAGAGCATTACCCCAACAAGAAATGAAGTCAGTAAACCCATTCATTAGAGTTCATTGTACACCATTTATAAGGATGTTTAGTTGTATGATTTCAGTTAGACGAACTTCCAGGCATAATATGGGCATGTGTCTTGGTAATCTACCAGGGAAAGTATAGATTGGGAGGAAATGACAGGAGATCCAGCCTCGGACCTAAACCATGCGGCAAGTTAGGCTTGATCCTTGCAGGTACCCATCAAGATTCAGGTTGATGGGCAAATCATGGCCACGTGAGGTTTCAAGCAATTAGTGATATTCATAAGAGGCAGATCAGCCCTATCATAGTTCCAAGAGAAGCGTTTAAGAGCAGGATCTCAGACTAGCTATGGATACAGCAAAAAATCTTAGTCACCTACTTGCTGAGTGGCTTTTGGCAAATTATTTAGCTTTTGCACTCCTTAAGTTTCTTGTTCATAGAATAGGAAATGAGAATAGTACCTACTCTATAGGATTGTCACAAGGCTTAAATGGGTTAATACATATAAAGTGATTAGAAAAGTTACTGAAGGCTTATTATCCGCAGCCCTCATTAACCGTCCACTACTGTTCTTACCGTAAGCAATTTATCTAACATCTACAAGCCTCACTGCCTCTACTTTTAAAATGGAGATATTATAATGCATACCATTTGGTTTTGTCAAGAGGATTAAATAAAATATTTCAATATTACCAAGTGTAATATTATCACATGGCAGAAATTCAGTAACTGTGGGGCTTCCTTTATTTCTCCTTTTCTCAGGGAAAAGTGGTATGTTGAGTGGAAAGGCAGGGTGGCTGTTACTAGCTGGGATTCTGAAATCATGGGTGTTACCTGCTGTGTTGTACAGGACTAATTTCCAGTCCTACCATCCCTCTGCTTGTAGGATTGGGGCCTTCTAGAACCCTAATGCCAAGTTGACCCAGAAGCTGAGTTGGGACAGAGCGTTCTTTTGGTTACAGTATTGCAACAGAGTTTTGGAAGGCATCACTTTTATTACAATAAGCAAATATCTAGAATGCATAATTCTGTGATCGAGTTTCCAGATTTGGTAAGGAAAGATCCTGTTCCTATTGCAAAAGCATGATCAAGTCAAAGGAAATGAGCCTCATTTTCCCTGCCTTTAAGTCCTCTGAAGCTACTTTCAATTTGGATGGATCCACTTTTGGTCTCAAGATCATCCATGTTTCTGGCCATACTCCATAGACCTTGGTTACAGAATAATAACTTTCCCCATATGTAACATGTATACTTACCTCTCTCTCAGACCTGAATGCCAGTGTACCAGTCTTGGTAGCTAGATCTTTCTTGCTTCTAAATTGCTCTACAGCCAAATAATCCCATGGCCCCGTGCCTCAGAGCTAAGTGTGCATGTTGTAGACCTTTTACCCACACCACAGTCCCTTAGATGGAGCTTTAATAGGGTACCTGATTGAAATGGTCTCTTTCCCTTGTGGCTGGAATCTTCTCTTTACTTTGCCCCCTGTGTATTGTTCAGAGTGTTAATGCATAGACACAGATGTTCCATAAATGAGGCCATCAGCAATCTTCTTTCCAGGTATTCAATTGCAGTGCATGTGTCTTACTGGAACTCACACATTTGAGTTCCTACGAGGGGCCCATCACTCTATCTGGGCCCAGCACCCGCCCAGGGATTTGGGCTAAAACTTTTGAACTTCTTCAGCAAAGTAAATGGAACTTATCATTTGCCTGATTCTAGGCCATCCATTCTGGATCGGTCGCCTTCAACCGTACCCTGCCCTGTTAAGTCACTTTCTGAACGACCCTGCTTGTGTTATTGAATTCCCAGCATGCCTCACTTCAGAACATGGCTCAAGTAATCAGTATGATCTCCATTCACATAAAACATGAGAAGTTACTTAACACAGAGAAATAAGCAATCTTCTGGTCCTATTATTAAACTTGTGTGGTACTGTTAAGTTTTTATCCAGTAACTGTAGAAGTGATGGTATCTATTCTTAAGCCAGTAGCTCATAATCCAAACCCTTATGCAGCAGTCAAGACTGTAATTTTATTTACCTTTTTGAAAAAGGGTTTTGGAAATCTAGTTACTGCTGCCCGACCTCATATTGCGGCAGTGGAACTCTGCTGGTGTGGAAGCCAGGGGAGTGACCTGGGGAACCGACTACGTTATTTCCTGCTGCATCTGGCGATTCCTCGCTGAAGTGCTTAATTTCTGCCTGACCCTGCATGGCCTCGAGAGCTTATGATGAGGTCCCAGACTGAAATAACTTCACTGGCTGAAACAAATTCCCAGCCTGTGGTAGTGCACAGAACACACATGCATATTTGGGTGGGAGGGGTGTGCAGTTGGGAATTGGACGGATATGAAAAGCTATTTTGTCCCATTTGCACCTAAATTTTACCAACTGGAGAATGTAACAGTGAACTGCTAATTTGTTTTTTATTACCGTCTTTCCTGTGTCATTGACAGATCTGCCTTCTGGGAGTTTTATTCAAGAGGATATGTCCCATTGCTCATATCTGTGTGAGGCTGGCCAAGAGTGCTGTGACCGCATGGCAAGCTGCAAATGTGGGACACACACGGGCCAGTTTGAGTGCGTCTGTGAAAAGGGCTATTATGGGAAAGGGCTGCAGTATGAATGCACAGGTGAGTCTCCGGTTTGGGTGTAATTGTATCAGGTTATCTGTTGTGTAAAAAAAAGGTCCCCGAACTCAGTGGCTTAAGACGTTTATTTATTTGTTGGTTGGTTGGTTGGTTGATTTATGTATGTACATATGTACGTATGTATGTATATCGCTCATGAATCTTTGGGTCAGTTGGGCAGCTTGTTTCGTCTCAACTGTGCCAACTCAAACATTGTCATTAGCTATGATTTGGGTAGGTTGCATCACTGCCCTTTGCTGGGTCTTCTTACCTGTTTGGGGATCTGCTGGTTGGAGTCTGGTCTGCAGCGACTTTGTCTAGGACCACGAGGTTGGCCTTTATGGGGCCTCTCAGATTGTATCAGGCTAGCCTGGGCTTGTTCATGTGGTGGTGGCCAAAGTCCAAGAGGGAGAAAGGAAGTTTGCAGGGCTTTGTGAAGCCTTGATGTCCCTAGATTTGGGAAAGGAAGATTTGGGGGTCTTCTGTTTGTAATCAGTCAATAACCAGATCTGTCTTATAGGCACTTAAGCCAAAATATGCCTTAGTCTCTGTAGGTGATCGAAGCTAGTGGGACTCTGGTCCTCAGGCCAGAATTTGTGGGGTTGTCACAAAAAATGTAAACATTGGCTTGATGATCTTTCAGCTCTTTACAGGTCTCCACAAAGGGACATCAGAAAGCTCTAAAAGTGACATCACTTCACAGTGGAATTCACTGCATCGACATTTGTCATTTTACCTGCTCTAGATTTCCTTACAAGAGGATCTCTATATTTCTAATATTTTATTAGCAAGGCCAAGAAGAGCAATTTAGGACTCTGGTGTTCTACATTATATTTTAGGAAATACTTCTAAGTAATATTCTCCTAAGTTCTAGAAGTAGCATGTGGCTTTCTGTGATAACACTTTGTTCTTTTTTACCTAAAAGACAACATTTGCTATTTGGGAAGAATGTATTCCCATGGAAATTAACAGCCACCAGGAAAATTTAGGAGCAGTAGGTTTACTGTATATGATACCATGTGGTCTTTCGCTGCTTGTTTCATGTGAACATTATTTTATTCTGACATTCGGAAGGTAGGTAGGCCTGCTCGACAGCACAGAAAGGTGTCTCTCCCCTGTCTACGTGACCTGCTGTCTCTCTTTCCTTTTTTCTCCTTCTCCTCCTAGGACATTTCCTTTTGTGTTCTTCTTTTATTCTCCTTTATTCCCATTGCCCCTCAGTTCCCCTCCTTTAATTTCTCCTTCCTCCCCTGGCCCTGGTCCCAGTGGGCAGACACATACTTCCTAGGTCCAAGCGTCCACACTCACCCAGCAAATCACTCCTTTCTTGGCTCTGCTCCTACCCCACCCAGCAGGAATTCTCATTTAAGCAGAAGAAAGGGGAAAGAAATCAGCCCAACTGCCTCTGAGTTGGCAAAATGCCTCCCCTGGAATCTTCCCACACTTTCATCCACAGCCCAGCTTGGCACTCTCCCCAACACCCCCTCCTTTCCCCTCCTCCCATCCTAGCCCACCAGACACAGGCAGAAGCTCTCATTTTCTTTGCTCCGCGCTGTAGTCAGCATGTCTGCTTTCCGTGTGGTCGTAGACTGAACCGTTCCCTGCCAACAAGCCACTGCCGAATGGCTGCCCAAGAGCCTCAGCCATGCTGGCCTGCAGCCCCCACTGCTCCACGGCCCTATAATCTTGCATCCCAAGGGATAAGTGGCAGGATGAGACAGGGGGCAGTTCACAAACCCACTACCCCTGGTTCCCCCAGTAGCTGTGGCTGCTCCTGGTTGTACGTTCCAGGCTGAAAGGCCCAGCAACCTGTAATACGTGTGAGGTTGGGTGGGCTTCTCACTAGAGCCTCACAGAGGGGACAGGAGTACTTTTGCGGCTGGTTCTTGCCAAGCACACTGAGCACAAAAGGATTAATTTATCCATCCCTTCTCCTAAATTAGTAAGCCTCAGCTTACTACTTCCTTTCATGCAAGATTTAAATGAGATCTAGTTGTATTGATACAAATGTTCATATTGTCACCTTTAGTATTTGTGGCTATGGGGTTAGGAAAAGGAGTACTGGAATCCCAAGGTATATGCTGTGATCTGTATATTTGTAGACCGCACCCATCACTGGCTTCTCCTACACACTAGGAACTAAGAGAAGAGAAATTAGTTACATCTTTCCTATGGCATGGAAGACTCATTACCAGACTCTTTAGGAAAGGCAAAAAGAAATATTAGCTCTACATCATCCAGTACTGAAAACCTGGAAGTCATGAGCCCCTTTTAAAATCTATTCAATTGGGGCGCCTGGGTGGCTCAGTTGGTTAAGCGTCTGCCTTCGGCTCAGGTCGTGATCCCAGGGTCCTGGGATCGAGTCCCGCATCGGGCTCCCTGCTCAGCAGGGAGCCTGCTTCTCCCTCCGACCCTCCCCCCTCTCATGTGCTCTCTCTCTCTCTCATTCTCTCTGTCTCAAATAAATAAATAAAATCTTTAAAAAAAAAATCTATTCAATGGACAGATGTTATTGAGCGTGTTTTTCGGGCCAAGTCCTGTGCTAGGCACCAGGCAGGGATTTGACAGTGAGTGGACAGACATGGTCCTCAGCTGCTGGGAACCTAGAGTCGACGCACACAAGTCAGTCTGTAATTGCAAACTGTGGTGTGTGCTATTAAGTAAAAAGGCTGGTGCTATAAGGAAGGAACTGTAGGGAAGGTTCTACTAAGATTGTCCCTCTAACTAAGATCTGAAGGTATCTTGATGATAGCTGTTTCCTCTCCTTTTTTTTTTTTTTAAGATTTTATTTATTCATTTGAGACACAGAGATAGAGATAGCATGAGCAGGGGGAGAGGGAGAGGGAGAAGCAGGCTCCCCGCTGAGCCAGGAGCCTGATATGGGGCTCGATCCCAGGACCCTGGGATCACGACCCGAGCCGAAGGCAGACGCTCAACCATCTGAGCCACCCATGTGCCCCATGATGATAGGTGTTTTCTTACTCCGGGAGAGGATGTTACCTTTTGCTCCGAAGAGTTGGAATTCTGAGTATTTTTCCTGAGTGTAGAAACAGTGCCTTTCAGAACCAAATCATTCCTCTGTAGAGCCAGGGGAAACTTTAGAGATTATCTACATGAAATCCCTCACTCTACAGGAGGAAATTGAGGTCTTGGGAAAGATTTATATTTTGCTTAAGATAGCCTGTGTAGCCGTCAGCAGGACCCCCAAAAGGGACCCAGGACACTTTTCTCTAAGTTCCATGTTGTTTCCAAGATATCGCACTGCTTATTGTGTATTTTTGAAAATAGCTTCTTATATATGTTGCTTTTCAGATACCATAGACACTGAACTGTGCTTCGAGTGGTTTTTTTTTTTATTCTTATGTTAATCCCCATACATGACATCATTAGTTTTAGATGTAGTGTTCCATGATTCATTGTTTGTGCATAACACCCAGTGCTCCATGCAGAACGTGCCCTCCTCAATACCCACCACCAGGCTAACCCATCCTCCTACCTACCTCCCCTCCAGAACCCTGTTTGTTTTTCAGAGTCCATCGTCTCTCATGGTTCGTCTACCCCTCCGATTTCCCCCCCTTCATTCTTCCCCTCCTGGTACCTTCTCTTTTTTTTTTTCCTTAACATATATTGCATTATTTGTTTCAGAGGTACAGATCTGAGAGTCAACAGTCTTGCACAATTCACAGCGCTTACCAGAGCACATACCCTCCCCAGTGTCTATCACCCCGTCACCCCATCCCTCCCACCCCACCCCCCACTCCAGCAACCCTCAGTTTGTTTCCTGCGATTAAGAATTCCTCATATCAGTGAGATCATATGATACATGTCTTTCTCTGTTTGACTTATTTCGCTCAGCATAATACCCTCCAGTTCCATCCACGTCATTGCAAATGGCAAGATCTCATTCCTTTTGATGGCCGCATAATATTCCATTGTATATATATACCACATCTTCTTTATCCGTTCATCTGTCGATGGACATCTTGGCTCTTTCCCCAGTTTGGCTATTGGGGACATTGCTGCTATAAACATCGGGGTGCACGTACCCTTTCGGATTCCTACTTTTGTATCTTTGGGGTAAATACCCAGTAGTGCAATTGCTGGATCAAATGGTAGCTCTATTTTCAACAGTATGGAACCTCCATACTGTTTTCCAGAGTGGCTGCACCAGCTTGCATTCCCACCAACAGTGTAGGAGGGTTCCCCTTTCTCCGCATCCCCGCCAACATCTGTCATTTCCTGACTTGTTAATTTTAGCCATTCTGACTGGTGTGAGGTGGTATCTCATTGAGGTTTTGATTTGGATTTCCCTGATGCTGAGCGATATTGTGAGCTCCGAGTGTTTAAAAACACAGGAAGATCTGGCTCAAATTCAACCTCTGCCAATTATAAACAATGTGGCTTTGGACAGTTAATTTCTTCTGAGTCTCAGTTTCTTCTGTGAAATGTGCTTAATAATGGTGTATATAGATAGATATACATAGATACAGATTTATATATGTACACACATCTGTATCTTTGTATATAGAAATACATAGATATGTGTATAGATAGATGTGTATACATATATATATTTTATATATGTATATATATTTAGGTTGAGAGAATATACATAGACCGCTTAGGATAGTATCTGGCACACCAATTCTTAATTAGTGGTACTTTTATTATTAATCATTATTGTTAGATAATATAAATATTATTATGAGAAATTTAATGAATGAATATTAAAGTAGTTACCTCACATATGAGATACTTGAAGATAAATGACACCATATATTTTATAAAACTTTGCCATGGGAGGATACTGAAGATCTATACACACAGGTGAATACCATCAAGAAGGCTTGCACCTACTAAAGTTGGAATACAGTTTGTTTTGTTTTGTTTTGTTTTTGAGAGAGAGAGAGAATATGCGTGAGTGCGGGGTGGGAGGCAAAGAGAGGGGGAAGAGAATCCCAACCACGCTCCACACTCCACGCAGAACCCGATGCGGGGCTCCA